TTCTTCTTCAATTTTTAATTATTTAAATATTTATGAGAAATGAAAAATAAAATTCCTCTCTTTCCTTCCAGACTTGCAAGAGAGAAGCTCCTCAGATCTACTCCCTCTTTTATATATACTTCCCTTCTTCATCTTCCTTGCTTCTTTCCATGCTACTGACTCTCTCTTTTACTGACTTCACCTCAATGAGCACTTGTATTTCTGTACTACCACTGTATCTATCTGTTTTTTGCGGTACATTGTAAGTGAACTCAGTTCTCCAGCGAGTCTGGCCGAACCTCGGCTGAAAAGTATTGTTTCCGTTGAGTGGCGCAGCGGCGATGTTCAGGCCAGCACGATGGAGGACGGAGAAGAACAAGATCAAAGCTGTGTTCAAATTGCAGTTTCATGCAACTGAGGTACTCTCAATTTTTAATTATATGAATGTCTGATGAGTGGGTTTGATTGGATACTGCAAGTTTCTACTCTCATTTCTGCGGCTACTCTATGCGTTTCTTGGAATATTGGATTTCAGCTTTGATGGTTATGAAGATGATTTGAATCTTGTTCTGTTTGGTTTATAAGAAAATGCAGGAAATAAATGAGGTATTGGTGCCTGAATCATGGAGTGAGGTTTGTCGAGAGAGTGAAAAACTTGACTTAATTGAGATTAGTATAGAAAAATTGTATATATATATATATATATATATATATATACACTCTGAAAGAGAAAATTCATATTTTTTAATTGGACTTAATATTAGTAAGAACCAAACATTACTCGAATCAAGGAGTATCTAGTTGTCCAAGGGCTGAAAAAGTCAACTCCATTGAGCAACCCAGACAGAGAGGTTTGAATTATTGAATTTAAATTCAATTTGATAAGATCCAAAAACGTTCCTAAAAATGTTCAGAATAAAACTTTTTTTTCCTTTACTTATTTTCTCTCATTCTCTGTTTTTATGATAATATTGCAATGTTATTGAATAACCCGAATAAGGAAGTTTGTGGAATTTTAGATCCCTCAATTAAATGTGGACGGGTTGATGCTATCTGTGGTTCCTGGGGATGGTGGAAAGCCAACGGTACGATTAGAGAAGGCTGTAATTCAGGATGGATGCTGTCGGTGGGAAAATCCAGTTCATGAGACAGTAAGGTTCGTTCAGGACCCAAAAACAGGGAAGATCGATGGGAGAATTTACCATTTTATTGTGTCAACTGTGAGTATCATTATCATCTTCTGGGTTTCAATGTACTGATTTTGCTTGCCAGTTGGTTTTCATGATATAACATTTCGCTTTGTAGGGATCAACAAAATCCAGTTTTGTTGGGGAAGTTTCATTTGATTTTGCTGATTATGGAGAAGCGACTAAACCTTCCAATATTTCACTTCCCTTGAAGAATTCAAACTCCAAAGCAATTTTGCATGTTAGCTCTCTCTTTCTCTCTCTCTCTCTCTCTCAACACATACATTTATATTTGTCACAGGATATAGGTTTTACCTTAAATGTTCCCATGAGCTCTTTCTTGCTATTATAATTGAAGCAGAAAACTCCAATTTATAATTTGAAAACTCAGATTATTCATTTTGAATAGGTTTCCATTCAAAAGGTCCAGGCAGATTTTGATCAGCAAAGGTGAAATGAGATCCTACTTCACTATTATTCAATCTTTCAAGTCTGGTAAGTTCTGATTGATTTTTAATACTGAATTTCCCCGTGTGGGCTTCTGAAGGAATGTGGGAGAACATGAGAACACAGATGTTAAATCCCAGGATTGCAGCTTGAATGCTCATTTAAGCAATGATTACACTGCCGAAAGCATTAGAAACCACCTGGCTGAAGTAAGGCTTTCTTCACAGTATAAATCAGTGAACTTTCTTTCTTTTGATGTTAAATTATGACAGGATTTTTCCTAGTCCTTCAAGTGGATGGAAGAAGGCGGCAGAATCCTTTGAATTTGAATTATTTAATTTTAAAACTTTCTGAAACTTCAACAAATAAATTTATTTTGATGAATTTTTCACTAGATTATGGAAAGAATTTATGGAAGTATGTTATGTTTGTTTGATTGCACAGGATAGGCCATTCAATAAAGCTGCTCAAAATGCTGAACTAAACCGTAGAGCATCGATAGCATCTGACATTACAATGTCAAGTTCTGATAGCAGCTCTGGACTTGATACTCCCCGAGAGAGTGGCATTAGAAACTATAGCATCCATCAAGACCCTCCTAGCTTTTCAAAATCTTTGGCCCACCCTTTGGTGCTGCATAACCAAAATGTCAGTGCCTCAATGACAATTTATGAAGAGCCTCAGAGATCGGAATGGGAATTGTCAGGAGGGTCTGATCATGGAGTGAGTACAGATGACTCAACAAACAGTTCCCAGGACATCCTTCCCAGAGATATTGAGATTGAGAAGCTCAAAGCTCAGCTCATAGCTTTGGCCAGGCAGGTGGATGTTTCAGAGCTGGAATTGCAAACTCTACGAAAGCAGATTGTGAAAGAGAGTAAGAGAGGGCAGGATCTTTCAAGAGAGGTTATTAGCTTGAAGCAGGAGAGAGATTCTTTCAAGGTAGAATGTGAGAAACTAAAGGCCTTTAAAAAATGCATGGATGAGGCCAAAGTTAAAAACAAGTTGCAGTATGGAAGTGGAGACCCATGGATTCTTCTTGAAGAAATCAAACAAGAACTAACTTACGAAAAGGACCTGAATTCTAATCTTCGGTTACAACTGCAGAAAACACAGGAATCAAACTCTGAGTTGATGCTCGCTGTGCAAGACCTAGATGAGCTGTTGGAACAGAAGAACAAGGAGATAGCCAACATCTCCAGCAAATCAGGATTGTTGCACGAGCCTGAAGAGATAAGGCTAACTACCCCTAGAAGTGAGACAGATGAAGATGAAGACCAGAAGGCACTGGAAGAGCTTGTTAAGGAGCACAAGGATGTCAAAGAAACATACCTGCTAGAGCAAAAGATCATGGACCTTTGTAGTGAGAGAGAGATCTACAGGAGAGAGATTAATGAGCTAGAGATGCAGATGGAGCAGCTTGCACTTGACTATGAGATAATGAAACAAGAAAATCATAACATCTCATATAAGTTAGAGCAGAATCAACTGCAAGAGCAGTTAAAGATGCAATATGAATGCTCATCTTCTTTTGGCAACATAAATGAACTTGAAACTCACGTCGAGAGCTTGGAAAATGAACTCAAGAAGCAGCAAAGATTATTCTGCTGCTTTAGCTTCCATAATAAACTTGAAACCAGTGAAGGGCCTGAGAGAGTTAGAGAGGCAGCACAAAATTTGAGTGAT